TCAGTCTCCCTGCCYGCCACCAGGTCGTTTCAGACACACACCAAAAGCACCTGCACAAGCCCAGGGCAGGGAGCATTCCTGCCTCTCCAAGCAGCTGCGGAAGCGCTTATAGAGCTAGCGGCTCTGCAGAGAGGGGGATTGATTGATTTATAATGGATTCTCCATACCCGTCTGTATTTCCAGGCCTCCCTCAAAGGAGAGGGGCAGAGGCTCTGTGGTTTTGCAGTTTAGCCCCCGAGCGGCTTGTGGACTCATTCCATCTGTCTCGTCACCACCGGAGCCTGATCTCCAAGGAGCTGCACGAGGGTTCATGTTCAGTGCACTTCATCTCTGAAAGGGTGGTCTTCTGCAAAGGGGGAGAGAGGCCCAGAAATCTGCTGCTTCACTTAGGGCTTGGGGGCTAAATTAGTTGGTGGAAATCAATACCCCCATGAATAAAGTAGCTCATAGACTCCAAAATCAGGCAGCCTCCTTCCTCTTAAAGATCTAGCAAGACCTAGGAGAAAAGCAGTCACACATCAACAGGAAAAAAAAGTATTCCTGAAGATACAATTTCCAACAAATTTCACAATGGACAAGGTTTTCTGCCAGCTCTCCTGGTAAGCTGTGAGGAGACCAGGTAATCCCAGCAGAGCGGGGCCTGTTCTGGCTAAGCAATTTCCCATTCCCAACTCCATCCCCTCTCTCAGGCTCGAAACGGTTGCTTTTCACTCCAAACCATGGAAAACCATTGGAAAGATGGGACTCCAAGCACTTTAGGGGATGGGGAGAGTCGGTATATTCAGGCCAAACAAGAGCATTTCTCTGAACAAAGGGGCCTGGGTGGCCTGGGCTCCTGCTCGCAAGGACAAGGTGGGCACTGGCACCGTGGCGGATGCTGGTTAGAAAATACCCGTGAGAAAGGAATGAGCCAATTAATTGCTGCCCCCCTGACGGCAGCCACCTCTCCCCGGCACAGTAAAACCCGTATCCAAGCCTCAAGCAGATTTAGGGTGGCTGCAAATGGACTAGAAGGGGAAAAAAAAACCTCTTTCCCATTGCAGCTAATAATATTTCCAGATAATCTGTCTGAGGCAGCACCCTTGGCGAACCGGGAAAGCTTTTAAGAGCTGTTAACACCTTAATTCAGACTTCCTTATCCTCCCCTAGACAAGCTGTGATTAATTATTCAATCCACCTTGATCTCCCTGGGAAATGGTGCCTGGCCGGGGCATTTGTCTGAGGATTTGCCCTGAGCCCAGGCTCCCTCCGGGAAAGCGGCTCCGAGGCCTCTTGCCCATAGTTCCCGGATAATCAGGAAAGGTGGATTGTCGGAAAGCGCCCCAGGAATTAACTGCTTCCAAGGGCATGTTCCCGTTGGCAGGGGCGCTGCACGGAGGGATGTGAGGTTAACTCAGAGCCTAGGCAACACTCGTAGCTCTTTATTTGCTGCTTTTGGAGCCAGCACCTGGCTGAGTGTTACTGGARCAACTGAGAGGCCCCATCTCGGAGAATTTACAACCAAAAACACGGCCGGGTTGTTCTTCACCTGGATTTTCTCAGCCCTCCRTGCAGCTTCCCTGCCCTGCTGTGCAGGTCACTGCCCCAGGACCCACTGCACTGCAGCACCCCAGGGTGCCGTGGCTGCTGTTGGGCTGAGCTGGGCTTGGGATTCAGTCTGTCCGTGGAAAAATAATCGCTACCCCACGGAGCATCTTTCCCCTCCACGGTTGCCTGCACCCTGTCAGCCACTGCCAGCCTTCCTGGCCCCTCTGCTGCATTAACTGTAGCTTAACAGAGCTCATAGAGCCAKTCTTGTGCTGCCCTGCACACAGGCTCCAAAGAGCACGTCTGGGAGTCACCTCTGCTCGACTTCCAGCCCACGTCCAGGACCAACAAGTCACCTAACCGTCCTGGCCGGTGCTGGGGAAGCGTGTGGGAGCACGGACACTCATGCATCCCCTTTGGGCAGGAACGCAGGGCAGGATCCCCACGGCAGAGGCTTCCTGGCTCTGCCAACGTGCCCGCTGTTGCTGGCTGCCTGCCTGGCTCTGGGGATTGAGAGGAGATGGCCGGCGGGAAGCACGAGTTGCAAGGGTGCAGAAACAGAAAAACGCTTGTAGCTTCGGGGCTCATCCTCCCTCGCTGYGTGGCACATCCTATAGGAATATTGTCCCACCTGGGGAGCCTCCAGCAGCTGCAGCCGGGGCTGTCCCGCGCTCGGCCACGAGCAGCCCAGCTCCAGTAGGTGCCACTATGGAATAGGGAAAYGCCGCGGGGCTCCGGAGTGCTGGGTGTCCTGCAGCGGCTCCGCTGGCTCCCCGATGGATGGATGGGCCAGTTGTTCCTCCTGCTGGTGATGGGTTGGGGATGAGTCTGGCCTGGCCATCTAGTCTGGACCATTCGCACCTGAACGGGTCTTACCAGCAGCTCCTCTGCTGAGCTCTTGGCTTGGCTGTTGCTCCCTTCCCTTCGGCACAGGGAGACAGCTCCGGGCCTGGGTTTGATGGATCCAGGGCATCACACCAGCCCCTGGTTGCCACTAGGGTCTTCCCCACTCTCCATCACCCACCAGGAAGGTACCAAATGCAACTGCACCATGTTCATTCGCAGGGGTCCCAGCTGAAATCTCCAGGAAAGAAATCATCAATTACGACACTGCCAGCAATGAAATACGAGRCTGTGGTTTTGGACAGACTAAAAGCCACAGAGGGCCTTTAAATCCCCAAAGCAGAGTATATTCCCCGGAAAGACACTCAGGTCCTTCCACAGGGACCTTAAATTCTGCCTCTCCAGAGCTGATACCGGGAGCTGACAGCAAAACGGAACTCGGGCTCAGTAGGGAATCGCGGCATTTCCAAATGCCTTTGGAAACGAACACTCCCCCCTCACCAAAGCCCCTCCAAGTTATTTGCAAAACATCCAAATATTTGGTTTCAATAGCACTCGCACAAGAAAACGGAATCCAAAACCAAACAAAAACACAAAATGCTGAAACCAACTGCAGAAGAACCAAGCTGAGCACCACGCCAGAGAGTCCTGCTGGCAAAATATTCAGCCAAACGGCTGCCTTCTGCGAAACGCTTCCATTCTGGCACCRCTGGTTTTGGGGGCAGGCTGTTCCGTCGGAAACTTCTGAACCTGCAGCAAGGCTCAACAACCGCTGAAGAGAGGGGGCTGCGTGGGAGGCAGCCTTTAAAACACTACTTTTGTTTTTCATTTGAAACAATTCCAAGGGCGGCAGGGAAGATGCTCCAAAGCATGAATTGCTGTGAGGCGCTCGTGTTGTCGTGGAAAGTGTCCGTCAGGGCTTGGAACAGAGCGGGGCTGATGCTGGCAAGAGCGGTGGGCAGGAGCGCGGCCCTCAGCCAGCAAGCCCTTGCAAACCTCCTCCTAGCTCCTAAAAAAGGTAGGAACGAGCAAATTGCAGGTTTGGAGGACCCAGATTTGCTTGCTCTGCCTTCAGTTGATTGCACAGTGTGCAATCAACTGGGGAATAAAAAGGAAAAGCGACCCCAAGAGCTCCCATTACCAAGGCAGGCGATGCTGCCTGTCGGCAGGGGACGGGAAGGCATCCAGTCAACCTCCCTGCTTCCTGCTGCTGTTCCAAATCCCTGAACTTCAAATGCTAAAGAGTCAGGACCAAATGCTTTCCTTCTGAGGACACCAGAAGGACATGGACTTCTGTGTGGGGACAGAAAGCTGCACAACAGCAGCTTCTTGCAAAGCCTGGCCTCACTGCCTTCCCTTGCTTTGWAATCTCCGTGGGATTGCCAGTGGGAAGCTCCTCTTGGATATGACAATGGTCATAGGCTGGGAATCCCACCTGTTTCAGTTAAGGCAGGAGACAAGGCTGCCCTAGCCAAGCAGAGTGAAGAAATACCCGAAACAAACTCCTTTCCGGGGTTTCCTGTTAACAAGTCAGTTATGTCATCTGTCATGCAACATGCTCAGAACCTCTCACAGGTAATTAAGCAGTCAAGAGCTACTAGGTCTCATAATATATAATCCTCCTTGTACCCGGCAACGCTATTTGTTATGATTCATGAACTCCAATCGCRTTATGATTCATAAAAATGCAGTACACACACATCTCTTCCCTGSCTTTCACAATAGAGGAGCAACAAGGACTGACAGTGGCAGAAAGTAAGACTCCTCCTAGGCTAATACAGAGTGCAGGCCTATCTGCAGGGACATGGGATAAAGTGGGGCCAGGCCTCCTCCTTCGGAGCCAGGATTCACTACACTCTTGGCCACAGAATCTGTGAAACATCAGTCATCACACRTCTCTCCAACAGGGATTTCCTTCAACCAAGGGGGACATGTACAAAATCAGAGACAGATGGATCCTGGCATTTCAGTGGAGTTATGGATCGTTCCCTTTTGTTCCCAGACCATCCTCTCGAATCCCCATGTACAGCGCTTAGTTCTCTGTGCACATCTTTGGTGAAAACGCCTCCAGTCTGGGCTTGTTTGCTTCTCTTCTTCAACCAGACTCCCCGAGAGGAGCAAGGAYGAGGGGTTTCTGCCTGAACTACTCTCACCCTGAGCAGGAGAGGTGCCATCACATGCTGACTCCTTCAGCAGAGTGGTCTTCTGCCCTGGAGGTGACCAAGAGTTGAGCCTGGATGGGGTGGCCAGAGCGGACAGCCTTGAAGAGGGAACGTAGGAAGGAGATGTTAGCGGCTGCTGAGTGAGGGAGAAAGGGCAGAGAAGGCATCAAGGTTGATTTTCTCTACCTCCACATCAGTCAGTGCTGGAGATGAGTCAGAGCTCTGACATTTGCTTTAGGCGATAGCCAGCACACTCAGAAATGCCAATTTTCTCAGCTTCCCAGGCCCGCCTTGGTGAGAGGCTCGAGTCCATGACTAACCATTGCAACACACCGYGACCCCAAAGCCTCGTTTCACGTGGCCCCTACCAGGATGGGGGCTGAGCAAGAGCATTGGTTTGGTTCACTGATAAAACACACCTGAACTACCTCATTCCTTAGACAAAAGGGCTACCTGAGGACACAGATGGATTTCTGGAGCGTTGCAGAGCTGCCCCAAGAACTGGCTGACCACRGGCTGGGAGACAACGCTGGCTCCAGGAGAGGCTCACGTTGGAGAAGCGCCAGCAGGGCTGGGGAGATGATGGCCCCGTGCCCATCCATCCTGACGACACGAAACCATCRTTTCCGAGGTACATCACTGCTGCCAAGTCTACGGGTATAAAACGCCATTAAATATTTCATTTTAATCAATTGCTTTCGGTAAGTGCCTATTGAGGAATTCATGGGAACGCTTTCTCTTTGACACAGAGAAACTTTCAATTATGAAGGATGGCTAAAAATAAAAGGAAATTATACTGTTCCGACATCTCTGGAGGTGGAGACAGGAGAGGGAGCCGTCAGGGAGAGCCAAGAAAGAGTTTATAAAACGTAAAGAAAGGCTACTTATTTTTACTCCCCCAAATGTCAGAAGGAAGCCTGACTTGAATAATCTGCCATTCACCTTCCCTATTAATAATTCTGCTTCAACTATTTGATATATTTAGGGTTTGATCCAGAGTATCAAAGAGCGAGAGTCATGACAGTCTTGCACTGACGGCAGGATGGGGGGGTGGGTTGGATCATCCTCTGAATCTCCCAGGATAAGTGATGAGGAAAATACTGAGTGGGGTTTGGACCAGGGTTTTATGGATCAGCTCTTTGAGGTTAAAGACCAACCTCCTTGGCCTAGAGCCATAAAAGGCTCCTTGGCCTCTTCCACAGGCCCGAGTTAGAGAGACTATGACAGAGCAGAGACAAGACTGAGCTACAGCAGCCACCTCTCTGTATATTTTAGCCCTCTGCAACACTTCCAAGCTTACATCTCCTTCAAGTAAYTTGAATTACCATAGCTTTCTTTATGGGCTAAGAGAACACACTTTTTCAGCTCCTCACGTTAAGGCAGGAGAGGGAATTACTCTCTGGTACACCCCTCCAAAACCCACACCTCTAATTTCTAGGTGGTAAAAGCTAAATAATTTCTCTGTCCTTCAGAAAGTCTTACATTGTGTTTTGCAGGGTACTCTGCCACTCACTGATCTGGCCTACAGCCAAATCACACATACAATCTAACGGCTATTTTCTTCTACTTATCTTTCAGATGCTGGAATTTTCTAAATACACTCAGTCCATTGGGGCTAGGATGAAACTTGGGATGTCCTACCTCCCAGACACCATTGGGCTTGTCAGTTGGGAAAACTGATAAACTTTGGAAGAAGATCCAAACTTCCTCCTGTTTTGACCTTGTGTTTTTATCCAAATAAAACACTCACCAATGTTAGCACCAGAGGGACAAGGAGGAAGGCAGAACCACCTAAGAAAAATTCAAGTCCTGTGATGAATGTATTTGTTTAACAAACTCCAATATTGCTTGTGATCCAGGCAGCATGATTACCTAAATAAAACAGAAAAGAGATGATGTCACTGAAAAGCAGCTACCTCAGTGCAGCAAGGAATGCACTGAAACACCAAACAGAGGTTTAATTTAACACGGAACCATAAAATTTGAATCATGGGAGCAATTCTGTGCATGCCTGCTGACTGAGCAGTGACGTTTTTCCGTTTCTCATTCCACTTCCAAATGGTACGTTTTATTTTGGACATTCTCTTTACACTCCCTTGTTTCTTTCAAGTCACATCCCTCACAGCAAGGCCGTGCCATGGAGACTCCTTGCTAAAGACAACTTGGGTTTGAAACAAGGTCAGTGTGCTCACATCAGGATCTGTTGAGCCTAAGAAAAAACCTACAGACCCAACCTATTAGTGTGATAGGTAAGAAAAGCTTTTACTTATTCATTTTTTTCTATATATTTAATTGCTTTAGTTGCACTACCTCAAAAGGAGGGACTTCTGCAGAGGAAGTGGTGGAAACCATGCACTAGATGGGCAGACCAACCTACTGCTAAATCAAATCATGGGGACTAACCCAACGATGGGGTAACCTCAACAGTGCTTCCCGACCAAAGGCATCAACAACTTTCCCCTGATCTGAGGCACAAGGAGAGAGACCCAGCTGTGTCCGTGAGCAAGGCTGAGCTTTCCTCCCTGGATGATTTCCCTCAACAGCAGAACCAGGAGACCACGGGGGCTCTAACCAAAGAGCTCCTTCCAGCCTGCAGCCTGGACTGCTCTTGGGTGAGCTTCTGGGGCGAAAGCTGCAATCTCACAYAGACAGAGAGAGAACGCAGCGGTGCTGGCGAAGGTGACCGGCCTGCTCCCTTTATCTCCACTGCCTCGGGCTTTCAGAACGGGAACGACAGAGCATGCACTAATGCGATCACTGGGTTTGTTTTCACTGCTGCTGTGCCCGAGCCCCACGYGTGAGTCACATCCTGCTCCCGAGCTGTGCTAGCAGCTCCCTGGCTCTGAAGGGCAGCGGGATGGCCCGGAGGCAGCCAGCCTGCACGCACACAGGCGCCGGGTGCATTAGTGGTCTCCTCACCTACTGAAACCATGAGGTTCATGCCTGTGGCTTGTGTGAGCACCACTGATAGAGCCCTCTCAATGAGCAGGGCAACAGGGAGCAGTCACCCCTCCAGGCAGGCCTTAAGCAAGCAGCATAGACTACCCACAGACATGAAAACCAGCCTAGGGAGAGAGCTCGGATGTACCAGGGCATGGATGCGGCCACACGCTCGATGCACCAGTGAAACCTGCAGTTAAGCTCACRCTGTGATTCATCCTGGCCTTTGAGCACGTTCTCAGTGGGCTTAAATGAGTTATTCCTTTCAAAGTAAACCAACTTCCTTCAAGGAAGCTCTGCAGAGATATCAATCTGTCAAAGTTCAAAGAAACGATAAACAAAGATGACTCCCCAGAAGTCAATGTATAGAGGAAAGTTCAGGAATGTCTGCATCGGCCTTTTAATTATATGATGCACGCTCAGCACAACATGCATTGGTTTTACTCATAAAAATGAAGGGAAGGAATCAAATTGGGAGCAGATGCTGAGAATTTGGGGAATTAAGAAAAGAACACAGCTACAAACTATAGGACAGCTGAGTGTCACAGAGCCACCTATCCAGTGTTGATATCAATARGGTGACATACCTGGCCCTTGTCACCTGCTCTGTCATTTAGACTGTGCTGGGAACAGACCTTGTCCTGCCACCAGCCACAATACTGAACTGCAATTTAATTTGAAGTTCCCAACTGAACATACATGCAACATATTTGAGTGCTTCTCACCTGCCCTGGGTCTTAAAGTAAAATGTTCTTGTATGACATGTAGGTAAGCAGGGAGAAGGGAAGAGCTAGAAAAAAACATGTATTGCAGCTATTGAAGAGCCAGGCATGTTCATTACTTCTATTTCTCTTCCACTGCAAAACAAAGCCACAGGAATAACATATCATAAAAAAGCAGAGTCTCATTCTGTAAGCTGGAGCAGGAAAGACTCTAGACTCTTCTTTCCCCCTCCAGAGCACCTGTTTTTATATATGTCCTTAGCAAGATGCTCTGCTCTAATTGGAATGGACTGTATTCTCTCAGCTGCATGGGCTAATTTTATATGATCACAGTCTTAATTAGCTACACTCTTCCTTGCATTTTAAGTAGCCATTTTATATTAAAAATATCGCACATGCTCTGTGTTTTTGGAGAACGTTCTTAYGTTAACTCAAAGGGAGAAGCATCTTCAACACAGTAGGTTTTCTACAAAACTACCAATAAATGCTGAAAGGATCCAGGCAGCCTCTGATACAACCTCTTGCAGGAGCAGACGTGCTCAGGCCTGGGAGTTAGACAGGCCATTGCATACACTCCTGTGAGCTTGTGCCTGCAGCTTTGCACCACAGCTTGCACCCTTACTGCAGAGACCAGATAATCAGAGCTGTCCTTCGGAGAAGCTGGACTCTCATTTATTAGGGAAAAGAAAAAGCTCTCTCCTTGCTAGTGGTCTGTACCTGCCTGCTGTCATTTATAACAGGCCACAGAGGAAGAGAGAGGAGGGGTTTAAAGGCAGGCATCATCTCAGTGCAGCTTCTCTCAGGGCTGTTCCTTTCACAGCAAGTTTGCTTACGAGGGCTCCCTTCCCCCGGGAGCAGCAATAAAAGTGCACAATACTGCTGCTCGGGGAGGCAGGAGAAAATAGGAGCCATAACGAAGCTGAACAGCAAGGGAGAGATGTTCTGCAAGCGCTGAGATATAACTGGGCTCGTGATTGACAGTGAGAAGAAGATGGAAGAATTCAGGCCTCCTGCAAAGAAGGGATTAGTTTCCACGCTCTTCCCTCCTCCCTAAACTTGTCATTTCTCTGCCAGATCTAAACGATAATGCTTCAAAGGAACATGCTTCACCCCTAGCCTTGCCTGCGTGTGTCACACAGATTAGTGCAAGGGACAAGGTAAGAAGCAATTGAGGAAAGTGCAAAAAAATAGTGCAAAGGCTGCACTATAGGGAATGAAGCAGCGTGGCACAAGGTCACTGGAGGAATTCTGCAAGCAGGTGCCTTTCCTGGCAGAACTGTCATACTTTGGTATGTGAATGTTCATCCAGTCCATACAGAACTAAGAGCACTAAGAAGCAGGGCTCAGCAGTCAGCCCTGGATATAAAGGTAAGGGCTAAGGGCTCTCAACATGATGGATTGGGCTTTCCCTCCCAGAAGAGCCCAAATCCCATTCTAGTTCTCACATGCAGTCACTGCAAGGCTTGAACAGACACACCTCTGGAAAGCATTGGGATTCAAAACCAGTTAGGCTCTAGAAATACTGAAGGGAGAGGAAAAATGATCCTAGAGAYGGGAACTCTGTGTGTCAAATCTAAGTGCGAAGTGGAAGATCATTTCCCATGCAGTGAACATGCGGCCTGTTTCCTTGCTCTCCCAGTGTCAGCTTCTGACTGGGAGGACTCATTAACTGCAAGAGCACAGTGCTGCAGTAGCAGATGAGCTGTGGAAGGGTACTGCCTTACACACTCAGCTTGCTGCTGTGGTTTAAACAGGCAGCAGCTGGGAGGTGCTCTTTTTCCAAGAGCTTTGTTGGATGTGAGTTGGTCCTCAAAGGGCCAACAATGCCACTGTCTCAAGATTTGGACCTACAAGTGACAGGAACTGGGGTACTGCAGACACACACTGTCTGATGGAAGGAGCTCCTCGCTCAAAGAGCCCTTAAGTAGTAGTGTTTGTAGCCATTGGTGACACCTAACCCAGCTAATCACAGCAGCAACACTCTCCTTACTTCCACCGCCTTTCTTTCAACTAGATCAGGCAATTGTAACATAAACAAAAGCTTTATGCAGCTTAAGCACCTACTTACAGTTAGAAATGCCCTCAGCTGCACTTCAGGATGGACGACAGGAGCGGTGCAGACTCACCAGCATCAGCAGGCACACTGGAAAGGGAGCGCTGCTCGACTTCCCAGTTCCAAGCCATTCTTTGCTGGGCTGGGCTCACCTGGCCTTGAAGCTGGTTTGCAGAACTAGCTGGGAAGGCAGCACAGCAGTGGCTTAGCTCCCATGGAGATGATCCTGGGAGAGACACAGAACAAAGAACACGTCATATTAGGAACAAAGAAAACCTAGCAGAGCACAAGAGGCACCTGGTTCGTGGAGGCGCTCCAAGGCTCAGGCAAGAAGAGCCTCCAGCTCCAGGGATGTCTCCTCTGGCACCTCCTTCACAGACGGAGCCAGTTACCGGAGTGTGGAAACCAGAGCGCATGGAGCTGTGGAGCAGATGCCCAGGAAAGGCACATGCCATTTGCTTATTCTCCTCCACAGCTCCACTGTCACACTGAGCTTTGGCCAACCAGGGCTGGAGCGCTCTGTGTCTTGCTTTGCCAGCACATGACTGTGGGGCCGTGACAGCACGACAGTGAATTCACCTGCCCTTCCCTGCAAGATGCCCAGTGTTGGCACCAAAAAGCAGCTGTCCAGTCTCCTACCACCTGCCCCGTCCCCACCTCTCACAATCTGTCACCCATCTGSCAGGGCCTGGGTGCGTCTGGTGGCCCAAGGTGCCTGCAATGCTGTTAGTTCGTGCCTTCAAGCTAGGGACCAAAATGTGAAGAGCCCAGAACTAATCCCTGTTTTGCTGCCACGTTCTGAAGAGCTGAAGATCCAGGACCTGAGTATGGGTTAGAGCAGCCCAGCTCACTTCTTCCTCCTTCCCCCTGCTCTGCACGAGCAGAATTCCTGCTGCTCCCATAACCTCCAGGAAGTCATCAGTTTGGAAAAACCTCTGCTTTAAAAACCACTGAAGCATATGTAAGATAATTACGTATTTAACATGTCATCCATGTTCCTTTCCAAACTGAGGTGCTGGAAGATTTAGTGGTATTTCAGTCCAAATTGTAATTTTTTTTTTTAAATCTTGTTGACGGTAACTGCTGAGCAAAGGCCAGAGTTAAACCCATAGGCTGAGGCAGAATAAACGACTCTTTCATAAGTCGGTCTCCAAAGAGCCCTCCTTAAAAGAACACAGCCAGCTAGGCAGCATTGCCATTCATGCTTATTAGAGATGCTCAATGAATTAGGAATTCAATTAAGAAAATGTTCCACTGCAGGAAGCTCAAAAATTAAGCTTAACATTATTGTAGAGGAAGGAAACATTTTTTAATGCATTAATTTTTTAAGTGACATCACTGCAGAAAAAGCACTTACTCTTGAAGCATCCATACCAGTAAGGATGCTAGTTTTCCTAGGACACCTAAAGAACCAAACCCAAGTGCCCAAAGGCAACGTTTTGAAAACCTCCCTCATATTTGAGCATCAGGATAGGGATTTACTGCCTCCAGTTCTTTTGCTGTGTATTTGCATAGGACCTAACACCTGATCCAGGCAGGGTGTATAGAGGTGCCCATGGGGCTTCTATACACTTGAGATTAATCAACAATTCAAAACGGAAGGTGTTTCCAGAGTATCTCCCCCAAACTAATTTGAGGAGAGTAGAGTTTTGTTTTGTTTTTTCCTCCCCCAACAAAGAGATGTCACATAGAAAACCAGGAAYAGAATAAATTACAGAGGAAGGCGAGGAGGAGGAAATCTCTCACGGGCCTTTCATAATTTTGGTTCCCCTTCCAGATCTCTTACGCACCACTTTTTTAGTTAATAACTCTGTCCCCTCTCCTACAGTTCAAATAAAAGAGCATAAGGAGAACATATTCCAGGCACACGGGCACCTGGGGAAATGAAGTCATCTCTTTAATGTTTCAAAGCCTTAATACGAAGCTCTAGCTCTTACTCAAAATATGCTCCAAGTGAAGAATTAGCTGAGCTGTTATCCTCAGGAGGTCACTTTGAAACTGGGCTCAAATAACATCTAAAATGAAAAAAAATAAGAATACTATTTGGAGATTAGCTAACACACACACACCCACAAACTCACCAGCGATAACATTTCCATGCAAGGTTTCTTTTTCATTATTTCTTCTACCTGAAGCACGCCAGTGTTCAACCATGGTCACCACCYACCAGGCAGGAAGCTCAGCAGGAGAGAGTTTTCTTCTCTGAGACCTGTCCTAAGAGCAGGAGACCAGAATCAATGTCAGCTTCATAGGCCTAGGGAAAGATTGCAAGGTCATGAGCATCACTGATGCTTTAAATGCAGTAGTTGCATTTAAGCCTCTGTGAAGGCGGCACGTTGGTCCCTAGTGATGGTTGGGCTGTTTGCTCAACAAATCTCCCCTCTATTTCATTTTGGAGGCAGAGGAACAGAACTAAGCCCTGAGTTCAGTGGAGGTAGCAAGCGCTTTGTGTGATGTTTGCTGATGTGGACGTGTTTATACACGTCCTGATGATCACTTTTCCATGCGGACAGGTTCAATGATACTGCTTTCCTTAATTAGCCTAAAAAAAGAAAGTCAGAAGAGCCACTGGGGGAAASAGCTGAAAAGATACTGAAAATGTAGGAAGGTGGCTCCAAAGAGACAGGTCTATAACCAGCACTCTGATGGTTGGTGAGCAAAATTCTCTAACGTGGTTCTTTACATGTTAACGCAGTCAAACGGCAAGCAGAAATCGGTAGTCCTGTGCACTCAAGTGCAGGAATTTGCCCCACTAGAGGAACTGGCAATTTGCAAAGGGTGCTGACGACTTCCTGACCAAGCTGGGCTGTTCCTGGAGCAGCAGGAGCTCCGCGGAACGTAACCCTGCTCTGTTCCACACGGGGCCATGGTTAGGACCAGCTTCCTTCCTCAGGCCTGCATGAGCGGTGGCAGGGCAGCTCAAGACCAGGCAAGTTTCCATGCCGGCTTCTTGAGTGGGTAGTTGAGAAGGATCAAAGGGATGAGTCAGAGCACGGATTTCACAACAGAGCTGCGCAGTCAAACGGTGGCTGAGGAGAAATGGTCCAATATATAAGGCAGGGGCAAGCCACAGGCCCGGGGAGATGCTAACAACTAAAACGGCTCCAGACAGATCCCAATGTCATGGCATGGTAAGGCAAGGGTGGAGAAACAGCAGGGCCTTCTCAAGAAAGATTTGAAGAAACCTATGAAAAAAAAAAAAAAAAAAACCAACAACATAGGCATGGGAAAAAAATGCACCACGGGTTGGTCAAGGACACCCTTCAGAGCAAGCAAGGAAGGGGCCTTTGGTAATACAGAGCAAAGAGAGTGCACGCAACAGGAGCCCAGGAGACAGGACATGGTATGGCAGATTGCCTCCAAAAACTGCAGTGTGGGTTACCGTGATTTCCATGAGAAAGGATGAAATGGACTTCAAAACAGGCGCAGATGCTGACACAGAACGGAGTCCAGAATCACTCTGTGGGTGTATGAAAGCACTAATACTTAAGGACCAAAAACAAAAATGAAAAGATCCAAGAAAACGCACACGAAAAAAACTGGCTGGGAGAGAAGATGGTATCTCAGAAGGTCTTTATGTGCATCGCCATACACTACTCTGGACATCCCCCCAAAACCACAGCCCTCAGTGGAGTTGGGTGGACTGAGCCACTCCACGAGGAGCTGTAGTCTGAAGCCAAACTGAAAACCATTTTGGAAAATGGTTCCAAAAACTGGAGAAACTAGAAAAATAATAGCCTAGTCAAACACAAAACCATTTGCTCTTTCAACACCTACAAGCATATTTTTCCTTTTATGATCCATTTGGAAAACAGAGCCTTCTGCAAAGAACAAACACGCTCCTCCAGTGAGGCACCCCGAGGCATGGCAGCGCTCCCAGAACTAAATCACCAGCTTCAGATCCGCATAACTTCACTCTGCTTAATGAGTGACATGCACTGCCATGCACCCAACACACCTTCGGAGAACGTCGGGAGGAAACCGCCTGCTTCAGGTTGGGCAGCCTAATTCTGGTGGATCCCGCTGCACCAACTGGCACAACGTGGACAACCCACCAAGCTCTGCCCACTGTTTTGTTGGGCATTTGAGAAACCCTCTTAACATTTTTCTTCATTTGGCTTTGCCAGGTACATCTCYAGTACGTCCCCATCTCTATCTTGTGGCTGCTTTTCTAAACAGCCTCCAGTGTTTCCTCCAGAAACTGTTAACTACCAAAACTGGAGATGCAGTTTGGATGAAGCATTCCATAGGCCAGAGACCAACATGTAAATAGGAAATAAACATGGTTCCTCTATTCAAAAGATGATGATAGGCCGCTTCACTTCCACGAGTCCATYTTCTGAACGCTCCCATGGCTATAGACGCAGCCAGACAGAACAGCAGCTTCTCATATGAATTGCATCCTATTTGCATTCAGATTAAAGCAAGCGAAAATTGCYAGCAAAATGGGATTGAGAATATTTATGAATCCTCCTGGCATGATGTATGTGTCTCCCAACGATGGAAATTGAGAAGCTTCACAAATCAGTGAGGGAACAGAGACAGAGGGTGATGACTTTCTAATGGTTTATAGGTCTCTGCGTGAATTCGGTGCCCATAGAAAGCAATAATAAAGATTTGAAAGACATGGTGAATATTGCAGAGCTTTGTCTTTCTATAAAGACCTGCCCATCTCAAGATCTCAAAGCACTCTTCAAACTCAGGGAAGCCTTATTTGCACTTAAGAGCAGCAAGGAAACTCATGTCACATACACCAAACCCTCAGCAGAATCAAGAACCCCAGAGGCTTACACCARTCCCTCTAACCATTGAAGTACCCTGCTTTTCTTCTCTAAATGCAAAACCTGTGCTTTAATTTCTAACCCGAGTACTTCCACGACATCCCCACCCAAGGAGCTTCAAGCAGGGAGTGCATCCTGGCACAAATCTGCAGCGAGAAGGGACACGAAAAGCACTCTTCCCGCTTCTGCACGAAGCCGGATCTGAATGCAGCCTTGAGGCAGCAATAGGTYAAATGCCATTTCCAGCAAGTGACCATGGAGAAAAGCAGTAGAGGACAGATATCAAAAAGCACTTCACAGGCACAGAGAAACTACCCGAAAGCCTGCAATAYAAAAGGAAAGTTAATAGAACAGTAACCCAGTTTAATGAAAACTGGTTGGGCAGGGACACCACTTAGGTGTTCCAGCTGCAGTTTATTACTCCCTTTAT